GTACTGCTGTGGGCTGTATAAAAGATTGTCACTTCCATCCAGTCACGGCAAACACTTTGTGTTGCTTTATACGTATTGGATTATTAATTTCTTAAGATAAATAGTGCCACCCCGTGTGTCTGCAAAAATAAATTTATTACTGCTTTCCTGAAAGATGATGGGATTCTGTATATTACTTCCATTTTGCATTTAGGAGATCTGTAAATACGCTACATCTTAGAGAGTCCCCGTGGGTAACGTGAGACCTCTCAAAATGGAAACAAATGGAAAACAGGACCGCTCCTTCTATTTGTGTCTGTGTCACTCTCTTTAGCAGTAGATGGTGTGGGTCAGTTATTTCTTCTATATTTTTCTCAGTTTCATAATGGCAACCACTGTGCCTCCTAATTAATTATTGCCGTGTATCAGACACTTTGCACTTAGCAGAAAAGAGTCAAGTACATCTGTTAAATTGTCTTCTCTCTAGGCTGTAATTAGAAAATATGTGCTCAATTAACATAGCCCACATACCTGATGGCATTGTTTGGGGAGGTTAAGGAACCTTTAGGAGGTGCAGCCTTGCTAGAGGAAGTGCATTACTTGGGGTGGGCTTTGAGGGTTTATAGCCTCACCCCACTTCCTGCTTCCTGTGTGCAGATTAAGTATGATCAGATAATTTCTTGTTCCTGCTGCCACACCTTTGCCACCATGAGGACTCTATCTCTTGGGAACCATAAACTAAAATAAAACCTTTCTACCTTAAGTTGCTTCTGCTCATGATATTTTAATACAGCAACAGAAAGTCACTAAGACCATTAGTAAATGTTTAAATGAAATGGTACATCCATGCTAAGAAATATTACTCGGCAATAAACAAGAACATACTGTTGGTCCACACAGCAGCAATGTGGTGAACCTCAGGAGACTTAGGCCGCACCGAAAGAGCATCTGGAAAGGCTATGTAGTGTATAATCCATTTCTGAAGTGTTCTTATGGTGACATTATGTGACGAGGAACAGAGTTGTGGTTGCCGAGAGTTAAAGAGCCAAGAAAAGGTGGTTGGGGCTGTCAAAAGGCAACACATGATCTCAACACCCCAAGACTTGAGGACCATCAAAAGCTCAGTTCCAGGGGATCCAGCGACCTGTCTGGCCTCCTTGGGCTCCAGGGACACATGTGGTGCACATCCATACGTGCAGGCAAACACTCGCACACATAAATGTATTTTTTTAAAAGGTAACACAAGCCAGGCATGGTACTTTGATTCCAGCACTCAGGAGGCAGAAGCAGGCAGGCAGATACCTGTGAGTTTGAGGCCAGACAGGACTACATAATGGGACCCTGTCTCAAAAAAAAAAAGTATTTGTGGTGGGGATTCTTCTTTATTTTAACTGTGATCTTCTGCACCTGAGATAAGATGTTATAGACCCAAACACACCCATACCTGAGTGCACATAAGTCTGGGAGTCCATGGACAGTATTAATAACAGTTTCTATGGCCTCCTGTGCTTTGGTAAGTTACTGCCTGTGCTAATTGCTTCTTGTCAGCTTGACACAAAGCAGACTCATCTGGGAAGAGGGAACCTCATTTGAGGGAATGTCTCTATCAGAGTGACCTGTGGACCTGTCTGTGAGGCATTTTATTAATTGTAGGAAGGCCCAGCCCACTGTGGGCAGTACTTTCCCTTGGCAGGTGGGCCCAGGCTGTAGAAAAAAAGGAGCTAAGCAGCCAGAGAAGTGAGCCAGTGAGCAGTTCCTTCGCGGTCTCTGCTGAGCTCCTGCCCTCACTTCTCTTTGTGATGGGCTGTGGCCTGGAACTGTAAACCCTTTCCTCCCCAAGTTGCTTTTGGTCAAAGTGTTTTATCACAACAGAAAAGCAAACTAAAGCATCACCATAGTAGGAAGTTAGATGTGATCTGAGGGAGGGAGGGAGGGAGGGAGGGTCAGAGTCTGTGTGGCTGCAGAGCTTCAGTCCCTGGGCCATCAAGACCATGTGCAGACTCCACACTTCCATACAGAACCCAGAGCTGGCTTTTTGAACCCTCTGTGCCCGGGGTTCATTCGTTTTAGAGGATTGTGATACTACTTCCCTCACTGAGTTGTTTTGAGACTGAGCTCAGAGTAACTAATGCCTGGTCATTTCTTTATATGCCACAAATACATAAACCATTTGTTATTGGCATTGGGACATAAAAATAGTCTGTTCATTTAGCCCTCGGGGATGGCAGCCTGACTCCACGGGCATCTTAATAGTGTGAGATATCCGTGCTTCCTCTCTTCCTGTCCTTTCTATTCTTCTTTCTAGGTTGGACACTCAGCTCGTTCATTGTTCAGTGAGTTTCTTGCTGTGTACTACACACATCTGGAAGTAGACATACCTATTTCCCTTCTGTTTTGGCTAAATCACAGATTTTCTATCAGCAACCCAAATATTGCAGTGTCATTTAGCCATGAGTCTGGCTAGAGTTTCGTTTTGTTTTGATCAAACCATTATATCCACCTAGTCGTGGTGGCACAAGCCTGTAATCCAGCCCTTGGGAGGTAGAAGCAGGGTGAGCCATAGTTTGACGCCAGCCGAGGCTACATAGCCAAGACCCTGTGTCGAGGAACGAGGGAGAAACAAAGGAAAGGGAATTATTGCAGATATGATTTTCAGTTTCCAAACATGGTAGGGATCCTTTCTGTGCAGATTCTGGTCTTGTATTTTGTCTTAATAGCTGTTATTTGAAAGATCTTAAGCTCCCTTTGTGGGTATGTCTGATATGATTGAAATGAAAATGTATTCGTTGTCAAACGTAGGCTTTACCTTCATCCAGTCTGTTAGCTTTACTTACTGGGTTGTTCACATTTTCAGGATCCTTACTGGTTTTTGGTCTTACTGGTTTTTAATCTTACTGGTTTTTGGTCATGGCACATACCTCTAAATCATAGATGTGATGTGTTATTTTATCATTATTCTGCCACTTTATACTGTGTAGAATTTTGGACTATATTTGTTAGCTACAACGATTCAGAATTGCTATTTTCCTGGCTCATTTTATAGTAATGCAGTGACCCTCTTTGTTCCCGACGACATATAGACACAGGGTCCTGTAAGCTAGCATGTCTCTGCGTGGCGTATCTGCCCGTGATGTGGAGTTCCTATTTCTCCCTAGCCCAGAGCCCAGGCTTTCCCTGACAAGTTCCTAGGCTCTCCTTTCAAACCCTTTGCTACATACAGGCCTGAGAGTTCAACTGCTTTCTCCATAAAGGCATCACATCAGAGCTTTGTTTTATTAAGCCCTTTACCGCCCCCTTCTTCCCCCCAAACCCACCTCTGGCACCCACACTGCTGCCTGTGTCCTGACTGTAGTTTGGATTTTCGGTTTGGGCCTCTGGGGATCCCCTCGCCCCCCCAGCAGATTGAGCTGTGCATTTTAAAGAAGGCTGGTTCAGCTTTCCTCAAGGTTTCTGAGCGTGTGGGAGAGAGCTTGGGAGTGCTCAGTCTGGCTGATGCTAGATCCTGACCAACCCTGAGAATGGGGCTGTGTTTTTCAGACTTTGGCTCTGCCCTTCCTGGGATCTGACATCATATAAATTTCATTGGCTTCTCATGTTTGAGTGGCCGTTGGATGCCCTGCTGGGTGGCGGCACCTGCATAGCTTGTCATGTTTTGTTCTGGTTCAGAGACATTTTGAACTCAGGGTGCCAGAGGCTGGTCCCTAAAACACAAAGGTTTTTTTTATATTTCAACTTAGAAATTTGAGAACATTTCTAACCATAATAATAAGTAGCATTAAAATCTGTTTCTTAATAAGATTCTTAGCTAACTAAAATTTAATTGGGCTTAATTATTTTCTTTTTTAATATTTTGTTATTTTATGTGTATGAGTGTATTGCCTGCTTGTGTGTAAGTGCACCCATGTCATGCAATGCCTGCAGAGGTCAGAAGAGGGCACTGAATTCCCTTGGAACTGGAATTACGGACGGTTATTAACCGCCATGTGGGTGCTGGGAATCTGGAACTCAGATCCTCCATGAGAGTAGCTGTGCTCTTAACCACTGAGTTAACTCTCCAGCTCTGCTTAATTATTTTCAATAGTTTTTTTTTATGTCATAACTCTCAAAATATTATTTAAGGAAAGTATATTGGTGATCCTGCTTTTAGAGAGAGGGGATTACAAGGAATGGGATGGTGACACAGCAGTGCAGGGTGGTGAAGACCAGCAGTGAACTGCACTGACGCAGTTACACAGCTGTACAGATGAGGCCTGCCCTTCACCTACATGTCCTCATTCATGTTTTAAACCATGTTAAAGACGGCAGGCGTGATGGCACGTGCCTTCAACCCAGCCCCAAGGAGACAGAGACAGGCAGACCTCTGTGAGATCAAGCCAGCCTAGTCCACATAATGATTTCCAGGCGGGCTGGGACTAGGGGGACCCTGTCAAAAAAACAAACAAAAAACCATATTAAAGAATTTTTATTTTCTTTGTAATTTTTTCCAAGCTTTTTGGTTTCTTAATTTTTTTAACTTTATGTGTATGAGTGTTTTCTTGCATGTATGTAAGTGCACCACATGTGTGCAATGCCCACAGAGGTCAGAAGAGGGTGTCAAATCCTCTTGAACTGGAGTTTGTCGCCGCCATGTGGGTGCTGAGAACTGAACCCGAGTCCTCTGCAAGAGCAGCCAGTGCCTTAACCCCTGAGTCACTTTTCCAGCCCTGGTCTTTGAATTTTATAGATGGTCAAACATGAAAAAACAGCCGGAGTCCGTCAAAGGTCTTTTGAAATTTGTCCGAAGCTGGTGTTGGTTTCCCTCCTGAGGACACACTTGTAGCCACGCGGAGAGGCAGTTCATCAGCTGAACCCCAGGAGTCCCCTGGCTTTGCTGCTGCTGCTGTTCCTGTGTAAATGGTCGTTTTTATCTATCGGTTATTCTCATGTACCTAAGGAAAACATCAGAGTGCTTTGCCCAGTGCTCTGCGCTGTTCCAGCTAATGAAAGCCGACTCTGCTTACACCAACTTTACTGTCTTCTAGGTAACCTTCCGAACAAGGATCTATCACTGTAACATTAACAGCCAAGGCGTGATCTGTCTAGACATCCTCAAGGACAACTGGAGCCCGGCCCTGACCATCTCCAAAGTCCTCCTGTCCATCTGCTCACTCCTCACAGACTGCAACCCTGGTGAGAGGCTTGGGATCTGGTACCAGCTGGAGCAGGATGAGGCTGCAGGGGGCAGTCCTTAGAACCTGCGGCCACCGCTAAACCCCCCTCCTCCACACCCACCTCCCCTCCATACTCCACCCCCACTCCTCCACACCCCACACACCCAGCTCTACATTACTACTGATTTTAACTTTACATAGTATGTAACTGTGTTCTTTTTAAATTGAGTCTTCTCCTTAATCTTTTTAAAACCCATTATTTACCAAAAAACAAAGAGGAAAAAAGCATAATGTGTTAATAATTAATGAAATTACTTTAGTTGAGAAAAATTCGTTAAGAATGCATTAAATTCTTCAGCCAAATAATAATAAAATTTCAAAGCGAATAGCTTAATCTTTGACTAGATGCCTACCAGAAATGTTAATTTGAGAAACATGGCTGTTAAGATCTTAGGACAGCCAAGGCAAGCATGGTACAGGTCCCTGCCTGGTGACTCCCGCGCGTCCTGATGAGCTGTCAGTGCATAGCGCTGAGGATCCCTGAACCGGGAGACAAGGCCCCCAGCAGCTAAGGTGCTAAGGGCCATGATGCTGAGCTCAGCACTCCATCTCAGCCCTGTGTGCCCCTGGACAGCAAAGTGCCATTGACTAGTTTGTCCTAACTACAGGACAAGCCAAGTGTGGACTGTTGGGGTTACTTAGGAAAATAGAGAAATCAGAGAGTAGCCATAGTCTTTCCTTGTGACCTCCGTGGAAACTTTGTCTCTTATTATAAAAATTGTCCTGTGGTATAAATTCCCACCTCCTGCAGTTCGACAGTAGTAAAGTCCAGTCATGTGACAGTAAGTGGGCGTTGACGGTCCTTCCAGCCTCATTACCTCCTTTCAGTATGCTTCTGTCTGTGACTTGTGTGACCTTGATGTTGCAACAAGGCTTTGTTTGGATGGTTTGACTCTGTCACCCTGAATTAGCTGTGAAGTCTTTTCTCAGTACAGGTGCCCTGCTTGTTAAAGGTTGGCTTCATCTCCCTTCTGTCATTAAAGAGTTCATTATCAGGGCTAGAGAGATGGCACAGCGGTTACAAGCACTGGTTGCTCTTGCAGAGGACCCAGGTTCAGTTCCCAGCACCCACATGGTGGCTAACAAGGGTACATAACTCCAGTTCCAGAGGACCTGACGCCTTCTTCTGGCCTACTGTGAGCACTGCACACACATGGTACATCTACCTAAGTGCAAGGAAAACATGCATATAAAATAAATAATAAAATTTCAGCGGTCACTATCAGTTACTAATATGCTGTGAGAGGGAGGGTTGGAATTTGCTGGGTCTGGCCGATTGATTATTGTTATTTTGTTTCTGTTCCTTCTAGTTGTTGAGAATTCCAAGCAGGAGTATTGTATTTACATAATTCCCACCCTCTCCTCCCCCTCCAGCTCCTCGTGTTTACCTCTCACTTTCTTGTCCTCCTCTTTGATTATAATTATTATATGTACATGCATATATTTTTAAATATATATGTATATATTTACACCCGAGTTCATGTGGTGCGCTTGTGTGTGCATGTGTTTACAGCTGACCATTTAGATAAGCTATCAAGTGAACTAATTCTCCCTCCATCAGCTCCACTGGTTGCCTGTAGCTCTTCGTCTAGAGGTGGGAGCCTGTGAGATTTCGGCCTTCCACATTGGCATGTCAACTGCTGTCATTATGCAGATCTTGTTAGGCTGCTGTACGGTAGAGATTTCATGTGTGCAGCGTCCCTAACATACCTAGATCACATTACATAGCAGCATGCATCCTGTTCCTCTGTGTCTTAGAATCTTCCTGCCCCCTCTTCTGTGATGTTCCCCGAGCCTTGAGTGTGGAGGTTGCCTTGTAGACAGATGCATCAGTTGGGGTTGGTCCTCACAGTTGCTTTCTCTCTGCATTTTATCCAGTTGAAGATATCTGTAATAGTCTCCATCTGTGCAAAAAGAAGCTTCTTTGGTGAGTGGTGAGCGCTCCACTTGCCTGTAAGGATTTAGACTATAGGGAAGTGGCAGGTTCTTCTCTGGGGTCTCTGACTTCCATGTGTACTTGGCTGTGTTTACAGTACCACGCATGGATTCCCTCCTGTGGAACAGGCCTGAAATCCAATTAGATAGCTGTTGATCACCTCCAAGATAAGAGTGCTGCTGTTGCACCAATAGAAATAGTTTGCTGGGCCTGTCGTCGTTATGGTTTGTAGGCTTTACAGCTGGACAGGACCACTGACTGCCTTTCTCCCTCGGCATCTTACAAAGCGCCTTCTGATGCTGTGAGAGCTGGTCTTCAGAGTGTATGAGTGTTTGTCTGCATGTATGTATGTGTACCACATGCATGTCGTGCCAGGGGAGGCCAGAAGAGAACATTGGACCCCCTGGAACTGGAGTTACAGGTGGTTGTGAGCTGCATGCAGGGACTGGGAATTGAGTCCAGGTCTTCTGCAAGAGCAGCAAGTGCTCTTAACCACTGAACCATCTCTCCAGCCCCATGATTGGGTGTATTTTAGTTTGTTTCTTTGGTTGGCTTTGCTCTATCTCGGAAAAATTACAGACCTGTTATCCATAAAGGTAAAAATCACTCCTTTGCAAAGCAAAATCTCACACATTTTGAGCCTGGCAGGCTTGGTAGCACTCAGAAGTCTGAGGCGGGAGAGTGAGAGTTGGGGCTAGCCTAAGCTACATATTGAGACCCGATCTGACCAGATTCCCCCAGAAAAGAAGTAGCAAAGTCTGAAAACACTGCTACTCTATAGGGACAGTAAGCCTAAGACAGAGGCAGCCTGCGTGATAAGACACTAGAACAGTGTTTGTGATGCATCCAGTGTTCATGTAAAACATCCCTTAACGAACACTTCCTTTCTATGACTGTCCCTGGGGTCTGTTATGCTATTTTGCCACATAGAAAATCAGGTATACTAAGAAAACTGACAATTCCGAGATGAAACAGAGGTAAGGTAGGTAAGGGTTCCGCACTCACTGGATGCGTGGTTTGTTTGGAAATGTCCCTCACCTGCTTTTCTGAAAGCAGGTGATGCTATATCAGCCGTCATCAGCCTGTTTTAACTAACGTTGGTGCCTGTCTCCTTATACGCTGTTTGGGGTTTTTTTGAGACAGTATCTTATCACGTAGCACAGGCTACATGGATCATCAATGTACACCTCCAGGCCCAGCACAGTACTACTAAAACAGTAAGAGTTTATTTATTCATTAACAGTTTGTTGCATTTTAAGCACATTTCTAATATATCAGTTTTTAAACTCCAAAAAAAAATTCTCTTATGAGGGAATTGGAAATTTTAACAAAAAGCATTTGCTGTTTGAAATTTTCTATTAGAATTCTTTAGTCGTGATAATAGAATTCAGATTATGAGGGTTTGTTTGTTTTTTGACAATGCACTTATCTTTTAGAGCTGTTGTACTGACCTATCTAAACATAACCCTTTCGGTGTCTGGAATTTGCTTCAGGATAGACAGAAAGGTTGGCGGTGGATGAAGGGTATAAAGGGACGTAGGCCCACCACCACTATAATCTGACTATGAGTCACAACCACGTGAGACTTATTATGTAATTCTTTTGAACATATTTGAAATTTTCCAAAATAAAGTTGTTTTTATTTCTATAATCTGCAAGAGATGGATTGGCTGGCTCCCTCTGCAGGGATCTTCTGGGCTGCAGCCCTGGCCCTGCATACTCCCTCCTCCATGACGTGCCCGTCATGCCCCCATGATGTCTGCCTGTCCCCTCCCACGAGCAGAGCTGTCCTACCATAGATATCCATCCGCCCTTCACCTCTCCATTAAAAACAGACTATCAGTTCCCCCAGTCTTGGGTTTAATGCAGAGCTTCATCAGAGCAACAGATAGAACCGAGAATGTCAGCTCAGTAGCCCTTGCCCTCCGTGGCCACAGGGCTGAGGGGAGTGCAGCCACTGTGTCCCGGGCCCCAGCTGTGTCCTCTCCATTGACCTGTGAACAGTCAGAAGGACTGGTTTCCATCTCCTACATCACAGCTACTGTTTCAGATTACTCAAGGACTGTGTCTTAAATGAGTAGTGCAGTCTTACCCTTCCCTGAGACCTCACCCCTGCTTATCAGTTAGTTAACTTTGACTTGACTATGACTAGATAGCAGAGTGTGTTACTAAATATTAAGACTTTATAATTGACAAAGACTATTGGTGGGTGGGAACTAGAAATCAGCATTAATTATTTCAGTGTGTCTTAATCTGCGTCTATCATACTGAGTTTGTGAGCTGTTAGAGGAACAAAGGTCACATGGGTACTGTAGCAGGATCCCAAGTCTCCCCAGCACGGAGCCTCCACATGCCCCATCCTGCTGTATCTGAGCACTGACCAAGAACAAGTTCTTTAACTGAAAGAAAACCTGCAAAAATTTTAAGTAACAAATTTTAAAGTAGACTCTCGGGCTGGAGAGATGGCTCAGTGGTTAAGAGCACTGGGCTACTCTTGCAGAGGACCTAGGTTCATTTCTTAGCACCCACATGGTGGCTCACAACTTTCTGTAACTTCTGTTTCAGGGCATCCGACACCCTCTTCTGGCCTCCGCAGGCATTACATACACATGGTAGGTACATTTACATGCATACACATAAAATAAAATTTTTTAAATGCAAAGGAGACTCTCTTAGCAGGAATGAAAAACAATTTTTGCCTTTTCTAGAAACAGCTAGAGCTGAGTCTGTAGACACCAGCTTTCTTCAGATGCCTACAACTCTGTTTAAAATAAGAAACAAGGGGACCAGGGACATTGCTCAGTTGGTAAAGTGCTTGCCTATATTTGTGTGAGGACCCGTCCTGATCCCCAGAACCAATATAAAAAGCCTGGAGTGAAAGAACACCCTGTAACCCTGTCCCTGGGGGTGGGTGGTGTGGAGGCAGGTGGATCCCCGATGCTCAATGGCTGGCCAGCCTAGCAGAACCAGTGGACCTCCAGTTCAGTGAGAGATCCCGTCTCAAACAATAAAAGTGGGGGTCT